AGCTGACTCCCACTTCTTTTCGAGGCCCTTCCTGCAGGCTTTTCTTCCTTATGTGAGCTCCTAGGACCTTCATTTCCATGAAATAGTGTTGCTTGGCCATCTACGTGTGGCTTTTCTGGAGGGCAAGGGATTGGACCATGACTTAGGCCCCCCGCCTTTTTAATACCCTCAAGTTTTGCCTTTTAGACTTGGCTCATAGTGGGCACGTAGGCACTATTTATAGGAGAGAGGAATGATTTAGACTCCCTAAGCCTTTCCTTCTAGATTCCTTTTGTGAGCAGTTTGGTTAGTGTTGACCTCCAACGTTGGCTTGACTCTGGGTCTAGGAAAGCACCATGAGTGACTACGAAGGGTTCAGCACTTACTGCCCAGAAAGAACATTTACTGGCACCCCAAAGCCCTGCTAACTCGCACAGTGAGCAATTCCCACGTCGGGGAGGTCACCTGCTTGACATGGAGTCTTGCCCTTGACCAGATGAGAGATCTTTATATACATGCTTTCCTGGCCGACATCACTTGTGGTAACTCCCAGAAAAGGGAATTTTAAAAGTCCACGCATTCTGAAAAGGCACGTGTCGGTGGGTCTTTGGAGATGTGGTCACGACCTGCTGCATAATTTGCCAGGCCAAGTGCGCATCGAAAATGGGGGCCCTTTGTTCGAAAATTATGAAGACTTTCGAGATGGTGACAAGCAGAGCATGAGTCTAGACCCTGGTCATTCTTTTTTTTTGAATTTTTTTTTTAAAGATTTTATTTATTTATTTGAGAGAGAGAATGAGAGACAGAGAGCACGAGAGGGAAGAGGGCAGAGGGAGAAGCAGACCCCCGCTGAGCAGGGAGCCCGATGTGGGACTCGATCCTGGGACTCCAGGATCATGACCTGAGCCGAAGGCAGTCGCTTAACCAACTGAGCCACCCAGGCACCCTAGACCCTGGTCATTCTGAGGGCGGGGGCGGGTTGGGGGGCAGTGGTTGGGGGCAGTGGTTGGTATGTGCTCTGCCGCGTGCGTAAGAATATTAAGTGTCTAGCATGTGCCCAGCACTATTTAAAACACCCCCGGGGGGTGGTTTTTTAACAAATCAGTAGGGGATAGGGTTCTCCCTGGAGAGATATTTACAAAATTATGAACGAGACAAGAGATATGTTCACTGCCCATGTATCACTGTCAGATGAAGAAGGGGAGGCTCAGATGATTTGCCCAAAGTCACACAGCCACTGCAGGAGTTTCTGTACCCATGAAACGCTTAAAGAATGGTGCACTTGGTGTGGGACGCTAGGAGCCATGGGAGGTCAGAGAAGCAGGGGCAGGTGGCCTTGCTCGTGGTCAGGGCCATGGACCGGTCCTGGCTGACTTGGAGAGGGGGAAGGGTTCAGGTTGGGGGGAAGAGCGGGAAGGGAGGGGGGGAGGGGGCGCTCTGCAGTCAGTGAGGTGCCTCTGGCTTCATCAGGAGGGGGTGTGAGAGGTGGGGATCTCTCCCAGACACCTTCTCCTCCTTAGCGCTCACCTTTGCGCACTCTTTTCCTTCTAAATAAGATACCTGTTCCCCATAGCCATCTCCTTCCCGATTCTAGTTCAGTTTGAAAGTGTTTTTCAAACTCTCTGGATCCCAGTTGACAGCAAAAACTGTATTTTCTGGTGTGGCCCAGTACACTTGTATGTGTATGTGTGTATGTGTGTGATTGTGTTTTTGTGTTTCCTTACCCATTAAGGTAAGTAAACAGACATCTGATGCAGTCTGATGTTTTCTTTTATACTCTATTATGTAATTAAAAATTCAGATAATGATACTCCAAATCGAGGCCTGCCCTGAATATGAAAAACTGCTTTACCTCCTCTCTGCTGTAGCCACTAGACAGGAAGAATTCTTTTGCACTCAAAGCCTGTGTGGAAGGAGGATGTATCTTCATCTCTGTGAGCCTATAGAACTCTCTCTTTCTCTGAATGCCTAAGGCTCATCCTGTTGGCACCTGCCCTGGGATCTCAGGCCCTCCTAACAAGGGTTTAATTGTATTTTTATGCATTTGCGTATGAGGGAGTACAAATTCCTTGCAGAGAAAACACATGCCTGGGTTACCCAATAACACATAGAAGGTAGTAAGAGCTCATCGAGCCCATTTCCTAACCCCTCTGAGGCCCAGCCCTGTGCCTTTTCCAGAGCAGGCATTCAGTAAGAGTTTCTAGATTGAAGAATTGGTTGAGAAGCTCAGAAGCACTTGGGAATTTTCTGGCGAGTTGAACATAAGCTCAGCACTGCTGGTTTAAAAGGCCTCTTGGTGGGGCTGGCATTTGATTGTTTCCCAAGCAAGCTGTTGGAACCCCTTTCTTGGCTGTTCCTTGTCTGGTCACATTTCTCTGCTGACAGCCTTGCTTTCCAGCCTCAGGTACTTCTGGGACTTATATCCCGTTGCTTTTTCCTGAGCGATGCTAACTGGGATGGTGGACGGTCTGACAAGACCCACAGACTTGGCTTTGCCTGCCCCCTGAGCCAGACAATGGAGAGCCCCCAACACCAGCTGCCCTCCTCCCACCCCCATAGTGTGGGGAGAACACTGGGCTCAGTGTCTGAAAACCTGGCTTCACGAGTCCCCTTCCCCAGATGAGTGACTTTGGGGAAATGGCTTAGCCTCTTAGAACTTCATTTCTCGGGACGCCTGGGTGGCTCAGTCGTTAAGCTTCTGCCTTCGGCTCAGGTCATGGTCCCAGGGTCCTGGGATCGAGCCCCGCATCGGGCTCCCTGCTCGGCGGGAAGCCTGCTTCTCCCTCTCCCACTCCCCCTGCTTGTGTTCCCTCTCTCGCTGTGTCTCTCTCTGTCAAATAAATAAATAAAATCTTTAAAAAAAAAAAAAAGAACTTCATTTCTCTTCATTTGACACCTCTTGGGCTTATTGAGATGATTACGTTAACAAACACGTAGAAACTTTAACTGTATGGCAGCTTAATAATACCTACATTTGTAAAGTGCATCTACCTGTCTTTTAACAACTGCGTGAATGGTTTTACGACCAACCTCAACTTAGCGAGGAACTGAGGTTTGGTTGTCCCAGATTACTTAGCTAATAAGCGGTGGAGTTAGAATCCAACTCTGTTTTCTTTTTCTAAAGTCTATATTCTTGTTATTATCATCATTATTTAATGTAATTCTATCAGCCTATTAATTATTATTTTCTCCAGCCCAAGGGGGCCTTTAAGAGAGAGCATTTCTGTTGATGTGGGGAGGGTTGGCTCATGGCGGGCCTGGGAAGCAGTGGTAGGAAAATGAGTGAGAAGAAAGGAAGGGAGAGAGCATGAGTGAAGGGCTAAGTTTAGGAATCACGTGAGGCTGGTCGTGGAGGGATTCCTGGGTCGCTTCTCTGCTGTTTCAGCTCCTCGGGTCTCTGGGCAGTCATCAGACACACCATCAGTGATTTTAATCAACAAACCAATGAACCGATATTTACTTGGGGATTTGGAGGCTGACGCAGAAGACTCCTCATTGGAGGCCCCTTGGCACCAGGGTCATTTTCCATGGCCACACAATCCCAGATCGCCAGCTCCAGAGTTTGGAACTGAGGGGGGTGATGGTCTTCGGAGAGTTTGTGGGCACTTGGTGGTTTTCACCGCTGTGTCCTGTCCCTGCAGAGGGGAGAGGGTGGTGTCAATGTTGGGGTGGGACCATCCTCTCTGGTGACTCAGCCTCCCCAGTGGAAGGTATACCAGTCAACGGGGACTTCACTTCCTTTTGTCAGTGTCCAATCTGGTCTTTAAAAAGGGCAGTGACATTCTTTTCTCCAGTGAGCCCTCCCGGCGATTCCAAGTAGTGGGTTCTAGCACTACCCCCGTTTTATAGGTGATGAAAGTTGGGTTTTGAGAGCACCCATGACCCGCCCAATGTCAGGTAGCCAGGTTTGGATCTAGGTCTTTGATGTCAGAGCCTACCATGATCTTTCTCCTTTCCTACCGGCGCCTGAGCTCTTGAATCAAGGACTGGCTAAGATGAACACGAATGACCCAAGCAGTCACGGATTGCCATGGACACAGGACCTCCAATTCAAATTCTGAGACTCTCGTCTCCTGGGGGACAGGTCTCTGCTGAAGATTTTGGTTTCCCATTCTCAGTTGCTTCCTCTGGAGGATTGCTTTCCAGCAGGTATTAACACAGTGATCTGCATAACTATTAATAAAACCTTTAATACGGGGTCTATCAAAGCAGACCAAATAATTTAGAAGGTCCAAATTTCCCACCCCCTCTTAGTGGTAGCTATTGTTAGTAGTTCCGTATGTGGCTTCCAGACATTTTAAGCATGG